ATCTATTGGCCTCCAAGTGTTAGCGATACGCTTTTATACTGTAGAGTGTGGAGAAAACTGTTTTGTGTTTAAAGATTTCTCTATACGTATTGTTAAATCTAAAGAGTATCTTTAATTTGGATATTTTTGTTGGTAAATGTAATATATTTAAAGTATTATTTTTTTAATTAAAAATAGTTTTAATGACAAAATTTTTATTGGGGGCTTCTTAAAAATGCGAAAATCCAGTGAAACACAATTAAAGTTCAGATTATCTGAAGATGCTATATCAAATACAAAATATAATAAACATTTACAAAATATTCTTTCTTATCGTAACCATACACATAATAAGATTATAGTCGATACTATTATATCTTGCGTAAAAACATTAGCTGTCCTTAGACCTAATAAATAGTTTTGAAAAAGGTTAGTTTTAAGGTGAGTAAGGTAGTTTTGGCCATTATAATTACCTAATATATATGTTTGATAAATTAGTTTTCAAAATAAAAATAATTGTATAGTATATTTGAAATAGGGTTTTCCCAGACTTACATAGCTATAAACAAACATTTTACTCTAAAATATATTTTTTTTTGCGAAAAACATATAACGAAATACGTATTTACTAAACGTATATTCCCAACCGAAAATATTCTCTGTTTAAAAATATATACATTCAATGCACCTATTTGTGTTTACTATACTCAAACACAATATGTACAAGGCATATGAATGGTCTCAGTTTATTTTCTGCTGAAAAACCAGACTACATCATACAGCCTAAATACTCAATGTACCGTTTCCACTGTTGTATTTATAATACCTTTGTTGGTGCACGGCTTGCATTTGTTCAATGCATTGTATGTTATGATATGCATGTTGTTGTGTACACTGAATGTTACGAAGATGAGGCCTTACATTATGATCATAGCATGAAAAACGTTTTTATAACTTACTGCCATTCTTTTACAAAAGTTTCTCCAGTACAACATATTAGCTATATCCTTATTAGTTTTATTTGTATCGTACAAAGCTAAAGATAAAAATAAGTTTAATATTATATTTAAAAAGGAACTGGAGTTGTTTAGAAAATTTATGAGTCATTCTCGTACCAATATTTTATTTTATTGGTTCCTATTTGTAATAATTTGATCTATTTGATCTGCTTTTCAACATTGACCTTATTGTTCCGAGAGGCACTCGCTCCAGAGCAATTTTCCAGCGCAGATTCCATCCCACAACATATGCGTACAACAGCGACTTGTCTCGGCTACTGCGTGAGGGCGCTGTGGCGGCTGCTCATGTGGACTTCTTCTTCAGCACTTCAGCTCCAGTTTTTAAAAGATGTGCCAGTGCCTTTTTAAACTAGTGGCTACCTAAGGGCTTCAGTAAAGTTTCAGTTATTTCTTTGGTCGTGCCTTTAAAGGGCCACATTTGTGTCCAGTTGGTGTTTCATGTTTGTCTATTAAATAAGTTTCCTGTTGTGTTTGCGTTTGTTAAATTAATTAATGCTGTTGTTTTGTACATATATATATATATATATATATATATATATATATATATATATATATATATATATTTATTTATTTATTTATTTTTGTTGTTGTTGTATCTTACTATTTCTTTTGTTAGCCTACCGGTATTGCACTTGTTGTTTCCTTTTTTTCGTCGTTGTCATGTCTCGGTTGCATATTGTTAAATATTGTTGTTGTTATGTTTTTGCACTTCATATTTTACCCGTTGTTATCTTTTGCGCCATATTATTATGTCTTTTGCATCTTATGTCTGTTTTCTCTTTTTCATTCTTATTAATTGCACATATTTTAGTAGCCTGTACCAAATTTGCTATGTCTTACACTTGAAATGTTTCAGCCTGTGAATGTATTTTTGTTTTCTTTTATACTGGTTATGTATTTTGCATGTCATGTCTGCTTTCTAATTTATTCTTATTATTGCTCATATTTATTACCTAATTATGCTATGTTTATAAAGTGATTAAATCCTATTAATGTATATTCTAATGTAAAAATGGTGTTACCGTTGAAAGAATAAATAAATGAATAAATAAATAAATAATTATTAGCATAGGTTTTTATGAAGTATGGTATGTTTGGTTGCACAGAACCAATAAAAAGATAGTTAGTTTTCTTGATTGCTTATACTGTATAAGACTACTTACGGTAAACAAATTCAAAACATTACCTCTCAATGTTTCACAGAAAAACAGTTTTGTTTTGCAAAATAAATGGCAGTTTTGTGTGAAGTTAAATAGGGCCGAGTATTCTGCCTTTAATCTTTATTCAATGATTTTTCAGCAAATAAAAACCGCTGAACGATTTAGAGAAGTAACAGATAAAAAGGACGCCATTCCAATAAACTGTTATGCGTGATTGGATGAAACGAACCCTGTAGATGATTGGATATATTGGCCACGGAGAGTTATTGATACGGGTTACGGCATGGAGGATGGCTTTACCCTCTTATTCTATGGTGACAAAACTAATCTCAAAGTAAACTATTTTAGCGTATGGATAACATAGTTTCCGATTACATAATTTTTGTTCGACGTCAGAGAATATTTTTAAGCTTTTATAAGAAAAAAATAATGCATTGTAACTTTTTGTCTAGTTTTTTTTTTCATTGTCTTGTACATAGGGCCTACATTACACTGTAATAGGGATCCCCAGTATAATATTTACCACTAAATTATTTAAGAGTTTAGCAGTGTACATTTATGTATTCTTTGCCACGGTTCGTTCTTAGTGCGTGAGGCATACTTTAACTCTCGATCTAAACAAGTGTTTCAAAGGTATTTAATTATTTCTACCTATCTTACCTTACCTGTAATTAGTGTTATGCAATAAAACTATTTATATTTATACATTATAACTATTGTAGTTTTTAAAATACAATACGTTGGTTGTATGATATAGTCAATTATTTATAAAAATCAAAATACACAACTTTAGGCTAATGATATGATTTACGTTCAGAGTCACGTAATATGTTTACTTTTCCAAGTGCAATTAAGGACATATAAAATAGAATGCAGTGTTTTTCGCAATGAATATAAAAAGTAAAAATAATTAGCACAATTATAAAAATATTTGGACTATTATCAACAGTAATTTATATCATTGAAAAACTCCAATTTCCTTCTTTTAATATTTGTATAATGGACCTTACCCTATTATTGTAACATTACCATAAATTGCACACAAGATTGAATAAGTCATTTTCAAATTGTCAAATATGTATCATCAGATTTTTAAAAAGTTTCTACTACGACAAATAAATAACTCGAGGAGTTCTCGGAGGCTAAATTAGTTCAATGGACGCATCGCTCACTTTGAAGTTTGGCTATTAAGATAAAAGATTGATGATGTGTCCTTTCGTGCCATCATTTGTAACGTGACATTTTTGTTGTTCCTTGACGTGGTTTCTTGGAGTGGAATTTATCAACTCTAAAGTAAATTATGTTGGTTACAGTGTTATAACTATTTACAATATTAAAACAGATGTTCTCTAAATACATTTCCCTGAACAAATGTCACCAAAGGTGTGGTTAAAATAAATAATAAACTATTAAAATTATAAAATAAATCGGTCATATGTATGATAATTTATTGAATGTATACAATATAACTGAAATACTACATAACTTAAATTACTCATGTGTCATACAAGTCACCTCATGCAGTTACCTTATGCAAATCATGAATGATAGTCTAGAAGTTATGTAACCATCTATATTATAACAAACTCTCCCACTTATAATATCCCCCCCTTTTACTAGTTCTTAAAAATTCTCCTACTAGTGTATTTCACTATATAAAAATATATCTTTCCTAATTGTAAATGTGTATAATAATTTGTTTAGTATTTTGTGTATGATCAAAAACATCCTATTAGAAATCATGTTTAAGCATCTCCTTTGAGTTACTAAGAAACACAAAGTGGCAGAATTTAAAGTGGTATGTTCTTAGTAAGTAGGGATGTAAGACATTAATGTAAGTAAGGGATAAGTAGTTTTATGTAGAAATATAAATCTGCGCCATATCCACAAATATAATGTATCGCCATTGTCTCCAAACTCACCGGATTTACATATTTGGCCAAATGTCGTGAGACACGTAAAATACGACCTTTGAGATGCTCATATTTCATCGCTATCTTTGCATTTTACAACCTTTTCATATAAAGATTTACGATAACATATTAGGAGGAATGTGGCAATATTTTAGACTATTTCTAGTAAATGATGTTGTATTTTTTTTCATGGAAAAACTAGTCAAAATTCTGAAAAGTATTGAAAAGGGATTTAACACAATCAACGAAATACATATGTTATTGTCTCTATTTTATTGCATAAGTGGAGATATATTTTTTCTTGAAATATTCATATTCTGTAACATTAGTTTTACCATGCTTGTATTTAATATAAGATACATAAAATACGTTTACTTATCCAAACATATTAAATTCTATAATATAAGCCCTGATTATAACCAACAACCTTCTTACTATCTGTCATATTATCTGATGTTCTAAAATTGCAGCGTTGCAGGGGACGTTAAAGCTATGGTGACAATGGCCTATTATGATAAACCATAGGCCCAAACCTCTTCCCATATTTGAGATTATCTAAAATTCTAATGCTATAACGTTGCAGGTGATGCCATAGCTAGGTGATAATGGACTTTTATGACGAATTGATTAGCAAATGACTTATATGGGACATTCAGGGTCCCACTAATAGATTCTTTACCATTTATCAGATTATCTAATATTATAATGCTCCAACGTTGCACGAGATCTCGAAACCAGTTAATCAATTTCTTTTATGAACTAAAGGTTCCCTACAATGAGAGTCTTCACAATTTCTCATGTTAACCCATATTCCTACATTATATCATTTGCAGGGGATGCCGGAGCTTAGGTATGAACTGTAGGCTCCATTACCAAAATCTTCACCATTTGTCAGATTATGTAACTATCCTGATGCTATAACGTTGCAGGGGGCGCCGGAGCTAGGGAATGATGGACTTCTATGATGGACTGTAGGCCCCGCCGCCGGCCTCCGCCCTCTTCCAGGATCACTGTTGTATTGTTAGTACTCGCCCTGTCCGCGGGACTATCCGCAGCGCTGACTCTCACACGCATTGTCCATCTTCGTTCTGGTAAGTCGTGAAAACATTTTTTCGTAAACAAAACTTTTTTTTACTAAGTAATAATTTTTATTGATGGGTGCATTGTAATTGGCTCGAAAACGCAAATATAAATGTTATTATAGACAAAAAATATAGTTTTTCATCAGTGATAATTTATTTACGAATTACTTAAATAATTTTTCCCAAAGTAAATAGTATACTCATGGAGCTTATCCTTTTTTTTGTAACAAAGTGGTAGGATATTTTTTTTATTTGTCCATTCCATGGCAACTCTCAGTATTGTAGGAGTTGTGTCAGTATATTCCATATGATTGATTACAATAATTTTATTAAACCGGACATGTTGATGAACTAGTTTAAATATTTTACATTTATTTACACTTTAGAATAATGAAAATGATAAAGTTAAATTAATCAATACTTAATTTACATAACTGTAGTCATAAAATATAATAAAGATATAATAGTATTCATTTTTTCAAAACCACTTTTTTGGCCAATCTTTTGTAAAATAAATAATCAGCATTGAGATTCATTTTCCACCAAGCACATTGAGTGATTAGCGAAAATATTTCACCTTTTGCTTTACCATGTGCGGTATGAATATGAACTTGAAAGCACAAAAAACCTCCAATAACACTTGTAATAATATGTTTACACTTATACTTTTTACTCACAAGACTGAAAGATACATATGAAAGATGGTAATGGTGATCGATTTCGATTGGACGCTCCAATCATCATCAGACCCAATAGGCGAATGCCAAGAATCTCAAATGCATCTGCAATCGTCATTAAAATCTTGATTCTTTTATTCCTATATTTTGCTGCTAACTTTGCTTGACTAGCTTCACCAAAAAAACTTCACTAAATAAATATATTTATACTACACAACATAATGCAAAAGGTTAAACGTTTTCTCTATTTATAGTTAGAAAATGTTAACACAAATTCAACTCCATTATAAACGTTTAAAATATGTCGTGAGTCATAACCATATAGCCTAATGATAAATTATAAATGTTTGTAGGTGATTTATATACTAATATATTTGTCACTGCTCCTAATATAGCTCAGTAAGACTATGTGTTCCAGTTTTCAAGAATGCCTTATTTACATTGTTACAAAATATTTTTTCTAAACACATGCATAAATTTCTAATAGTTACATTGTTGGAATCACCATGTTATATTGTGTTCATGCATATTCAAACAATCAGAACTCTGCTGAATACAAAATCACATCCTACATACAATCCGTCTACTATGCTTTTATTCTATGTATTGCATATGGACTTGTGGCTTACTTTACATAAAAAAACTCAATTGTTTTCTGGTGCACAATGTAGATCAGACTGTTTTCATTCACTATCTATTTTGAATTATTTCTGTTTTGAAGTCTGTCTTGCTAATTTTAGGCTATAATGAATCACCAGTATTTTTCAAGATTATTCTTTTGAGAAAAACACGAGTCCTAACATCAGAATCGGTGTAGATAACCAAACTAAGAGTAAAAGAAAATTGTGCGTTGAGAATTATCTTCTTAAATAAAGTATACCTGCGATTTTTATAAATTTAAATTGCTAAATAAATAAAGCTTTACAATACTCTTGTATACTGACTTATCTGTTAAATATTCTGTGTTCGTAAAAATGAGAGAGCAGATGCACGAAAAATGCTTTTAAGCATTTACTTGTTGAAATAACTTACTAAATACTGTAATTTTAGTGGCTAGAGTGTTTGAACTTCAAGTACATGAGACTTGTTAGTGAACTATGGGGAACTTAAAACAAGCATTCCAGACGATGACATAAGTTTTATTCTTCAAAATTTAAGATGACATTGTCATAGTAAGATAAACATGAGATTTTCCCACAATACCTATACCTATATAAATACACAGTCATATTATATGTCATTTATAACATACCAATCCTACACACTAGAACACGTATTGAAAACAAAAGATGGTTGAATGATTTAAGATGATAGCCTTGCTTTACTTTTCTACCCTAGCCAATAAGTTTAGAGCCTAATGATCAAGAGTGGGAGGAGCGAGCTGGTCTAGTGGTTAGAGCAAGGGACTGGTTTCTGGGGTCCCGGGTTCCAATCCCATCAAATCACCAATGGATTTTATCTAAGTAATAATGCCCTAACCCCTAGGTCTGGCCTGAAGTTATGTGAGAAACGTCTAGCGTCTTAGGACAACAAAAATGATCAAGAGCAGCTAGGTTTCATGTTCGAACCCCCATAATATTACAGTCTTTTCTCACGAGAGTATTACTGTTCGCAGGTAAACTTCAAGGTATTGTAGTGAGAAACAAGATGTCGCGGCCAGTAGAGATTTTCCTAGGAGTGCCTTACGCTACGCCGCCCGTTGGCGTCAACAGGTTCAGCCCCACCCGCAGTGTGCCACCCTGGGCGGGGGTGCGGTTGTGTGACCGCCCAGCTCCCGTGTGTCCGCAGCAGCCGCCCAACCTGACCGCGGCCGCCCATGGGTGGATGTCTCGAGGTAGACTGGCCGCCCTGCACCGCCTCGCTCCATTTCTCCAGGACTACAGCGAGGACTGCCTTTATCTTAACGTTTATGCTCCTGCTTACGGTGAGTGTTTTCAAATTTGGCTTTATATGTTATAAACATTAAAATACGACAAATAATAGTAATTTTTGTTGTAATAGTAATAGTAATTTGTACAAACTGCCTAACCTCGTTATGTTTGTATATTTTCCAGTGATCAACTTAATAACCAAACAGGGCATATGTATATTTTTAGGAACCATTTGTAAATCATAAAGCCTACAAGAACATCATTACTTAAAAAAATTCCTATTTCTTTATTTAGTATCTGTCATGTAAATATCAATTTAAAGGGTGATTTTTTTATTGGTGCGGTTTTTAAAACTAAATAAAAAAAATGAAAAATAACCTGCATTGACATAAAAATGCATTTATTTGAACTACAGTGTCATGACATTAACGTTTAAAATGATTTCTGGCATATGGGCTCCATTCCGTTCGCGTATAAAGCCCAATCGAGAAGTCCAATTTTCGAATACTCTTTCCAGCAGCTGTGGTTGAATTCCGCCAATAACTCGTTAGCTTCCAAGTAATTTAAAGTTTCAACGCTATCGGGCAATGTTACGGGACTTTTTCGTTCCTCAGCTAAACGAACTTGAAGTGGATTTAGAAAATGTCTGGTTCCAACAAGACGGCGCGACGTGCCACACGGCAAACGACACAATTGGCCTCTTTGCAGAAACATTTGGTGAACGTATCATATCATTTAGAGGTAGTGTCAACTGGCCCCCACGGTCGTGTGATATCACTCCAACAGACTTCTTTCTGTGGGGATATGTTAAGTCTCAAGTATACGCTGACAAGCCACAAACTTTAAATGACTTGGAAGCTAACATTCATCGAGTTATTGGCGGAATCCAACCACAGCTGCTGGAAAGAGTATTCGAAAATTGGACTTCAAGATTTGGCTTTCTACGCGAACGGAATGGAGCCCATATGCCAGAAATTATTTTCAAACGTTATTGTCATGACACTGTTGTTGAAATAAATGCATTTTTATGTCAATGCAGGTTGTTTTTCATTTTTTTATTTAGTTTTAAAAACCGCACCAATAAAAAAATCACCCTATATTACCTACTAATTTGGCCAATGTTTTACATTATTGAACGTTTAATATTTTTTGTTCTTTGGTAGATGAAAACAACTCAACCTCAACCCCAAAATAATTTATGGTTATCACCTTACACATATTTAAAAACATATTAACTATATTAATCAAAGTATTTCATGTTGACAATCTATGAAATGTTATAAAGCTAAGCCACATCATACAGCAAACCAACATTCTACGATAGAAAAGTTTTGATGAAAAAAGTTAACCAATCTGATGAATTTAATCGTACGTGATTGAAGGTTACGAAACTCTTGAATAATATCCTTTAACAGTTTCTTTGCAATAAATTACTTACTTTGCTGTACAAAATAACTTTCTTTGCAGGAACGATCGCTTTTCAATCGCGAGAAGTGAGTCGGAATGAATACGCGTAAATTTCTCTTATCGTGATCTGACTGTAAAATTATGTTTTATTAATCTTGAAATTCATTCGATCAGATGAAAAGTAAGTTTTTCATTATTTTTTAAAGTTTGTTGATTAATATGCTATTAATGAAGTTCATCCTTAAAGTCAAAATTCAAGCGTTAAAGAAAATGGTTAGATGTTTAGGGGTGTAAATCATTAGATGTAATTTTTTTTCAACTCGTATCACTGATATGTAAGGTAGAGAGGAAACATTCAATGCTACACTTAAAAGGTTTCTAGCACTAGTGCTGGTGTCTAGGACAAAGTCCAACACCACCCCCTCACCATTATATTATGAGTGTCCCCTACAACGCTTACGGTGGAGGAAGATCCTGTGCCCTGTGTCATAGGAATTTCAGCACAAGGCTCAGGCTCTTCCATGCTCGCCACAAAAGTATTTATGGCACAACATAGTAGCTAAAAGATATAGACCCATAAACGTGCTTCCTATGTACCTTACTTCTCTGTGCACGTTTTTAAATATAGTTCACGCACCATTTAATATTCATTTCCTACAAGAGTCATACATAGTTCTTTTATGTTTTAGTAACTGTTCTCAATAATACAAGCAACTTGGGCCATTGTCCTAACTATATTACATTTCAGAGGAAGGAGAGTTGTCACCGGTTCTTGTGTTCGTCCATGGGTCCGAAGACTTCAGTTCGGGAAGTGGCAACCCTTTTGATGGAAGAGTCCTGGCAGGGTACACCTCAATTGTAGTCGTCACCATAAACTACCGCCTGGGCGCCTTAGGTGAATAGTCATACTTCAGTGGTTTAAGCATAATAAAATCGAATACAAGTTATTAAATAAATATATGCACTCTTTTTAGCCTTATTTTTATGTAACGTCTCGTGAATGTTAATGCTACGTAAAACTAAACTTTTATAAAAGGTATAAAATTACCTGAGTACTGCCAGAGTGAGCCTGTTGGTCCTTACGGATTACGCGTTTCGAGGAGCTTAAGTCCTCATCATCAGATCTTGTACAAGAAACACATCTATCACTTCAAAAAGGTCGTCAAAAGTTTAAATACACAACACGGACACATAATAAATAAACACGTTTTACAATTACGGATAGGCCTACCGACAAAAACCTGCAATGTCCGACTGCACAGTTGTAGGTTAAAGTCATGACTCAACAGTAAAGACCAACAGGACCACTCTGGCAGTACTCAGGTAATTTTATACCTTTTATAGTTTGTTCTGTGATCCAGAGACAAAAACAACTCAAAATATAAACTTGTTATGTTAGTTATTTACCACCATTAGATCCATTGCAGGCAAATTATACAATAATTGATTATCAAGCCATTGCTTTTATTTCTGAATTTATTTAAATATACTTTTCGGTGCCTCCTAATTGTTTCCTAATAAATTATTATCCAAAATATTAAATAAAATAAAACAATAGGAAAAAATTCAAAAATGGATTATTAAAAGATCATTATTCTACCTTATGATATTAATCTTATAGATTTAATTTTTAATACACTTCTTGTTACATACTGATTCAAATTAATAAATTAGACAAGCCCTAAAAATGTTATACTTCTCATTATTGGTATTCAAAATAATAATGTATTATATTAAACTTATATACTTAATTCTTCTGAACAAATATAAAATAAATGTTGTACACCTACCTATTAAATATTAATGTTTTTTTTTTATTGGCCTTAAATATTAACTAAAAAAGACATTATTTGCTTACTTAACTATATACAGTTATTAAGAAATGTGAGAAGGAGCTCAAGTTTTCTAAAATGAGTATCAAAGTTGTTATAAAATTTAGTTATTTTATAGGAAAGATAAATGACCAAAGTTGAACGTTTTGCTAGTTAAACCATCACTCACCATTGGGTTGGGTTGGGGTAAAAAGCTAATGCTATGCTAAAAAACAACCCCTTAACTCTACCCCTGGGATTTACTAAAGTGAATAATATAGTTGAGGAATTGATCCTAAAACTTTGGTAGCTTTATATCAACTAGCTAATTTTAAATGCAGACCTCTGTTTGTATTTACCAAGTTGTTTAAATAATAGAAAAAAATAATAATTCATTCATGAAGAAAACTTCAAGGTTAAAATTAATTTACCGTTACACATTTAAAATTAGGCTAACACATGCAGGACGTATGCAAGAAAGAAAGTAAAATTCAATCCAAATATTTTTAGATTTAATTATGAGGTAATATTTGACAAGAATTGTTGTCGAAATTCATTTCCATTTCCAAATCCATTCGCATTTTTATCAAATTATGCAAATTGTGAAAAAAAACTCAATTAACCTCAATTCAAGTACAAAAGTACTTATGAAAATCAAACCCACTTAAACAAACTGAACTTGTCAACACGGTCACGTATTACATTGAATCCGTTGGAATTTTAAAACTACTACAATTCTGAATCAAATTCAATAATATTTTGTAGAATCTAAAAAAAAGAGAGATAGTTATTTCCCTCTATTTGATTAGTAAAAAAATAGAAACTACAAAACGCTCAGAGGCTTATACATACACATCGAAGATTCCCCTGAGGTCATGCTACTACTACTTTCTGTTCTCGTGCATTATTCCCTGAGTTTAAAAAAATAGCAATTCTATTCTAAAAAGATAAGCTAAACTTATACTACTTTTCCTTTTTATTTTTGGTAACCTATCCACAAGGTGGATTTTTCTATTTTTCATGAATTGCAAAGCCATATTAGTAAAGTAATTGTAAGAAATATCCACACAGTCTATTTCACGTTACACCAGCTGTAGAAAGCAAAACCTGCCTTATATTATTGTTAGGTTATTGTGTTACCAAGTCGGTTGTATAACACTGGATTTAATACGTAATACGAGGATATCTTGTTAATTAATATTGCCACACAAAAGGGTCTATCTACAAGAACAATAGCTTCCGAGGCGCTGCCTTCTACTGTGGGATTTGAGATCAATATGCAAATAATTTGATATTGGAATAATAATAGCTTTTAATTACAGTAAACCATTAGTATTGAGTTTTTAAATCGTGTAGCCTGTGTTTAATATTGTCAACTAAAATAACAATTGTATGCCATTATAGAGCATATTTTATCAAAAATCTAATTTAGATATAACAATTACGTTATCTGTAATTGTGAACTGTAATATTTCAAATTAAAATTCATTATGTATTGGCATTGTTTGGTTTGAATTATAGATGACGGTCAGTATGATAATCTTAGTATAAATATGCTAGTAAGAAAACCCACATTTCATTAGCTCTTTTGCAAGTGGGTATATCATAAGTTAATAATTTGTAAACTTTACATGCCCATCTGATTTTGATTCTTAAAATCAAAATATTTGTTCTAACTCACGTGCACTGCAAAAAACGATTATATCGAAAATAAGGCCATTTTATGCTAAATTTGGTATAATAATTTCTTATTTACGTAATGAAAACCATTTAAAACTCTTAAATTTAGTTCCCCCTAGTAAAAACCTTATAATTATTTGATTATTCAAATTACAATGGTGTGTTGCTAGCCCATTGGTTAGCGTCTCGGATTTCGATAAGGGAGAGATTGGTGCGATTTTCGGCACAACCAAAGAACTAATAGGCTTGGATTGCTTCCCCTTAAAAGTGTTAAAATTGACTTTGAAAAATCCACTGTCTTGGGTAAAAAAAATAAATATAAGAAATATACATTATGGTTCTTGATAAGCCTAACGTTTGAGCCATCATATTTCTTACATCTTCACCAATGACTCAAGACTTTTGTCATCAAACCTGAAGTAGCTTGCTTTAAGTAGTATGCACTTGGGCAGTTACTTATTAACTACTTAATGCCTAATAAATTATACATCTCTGTGTTCCAGGTTAATTATTGGTTAATGTTATAGAGGTTAACTTTAAGAAAGGACCATGAGGTCCTAAGTTTGCCTCAATAAAGAAGGATTTTCATTTCCAGGGTTCCTAAACCTCAACAATGACCCGGACTCCCGGCCTCGTATTGCCAACAGTGGATTGATGGACCAGATCGCAGCTCTGCAGTGGGTCCAGCAGAACATTGACAAGTTTGGAGGTGACCCGACCAGAGTGACCGTGGCGGGTCATGGTACTGGTGCCGCGTGTGTCCACTTCTTGGCCATCTCACCTGCTGTCATGGCTGGTACGTCCTTTGGAATATGCTAAGTTTATTACCATGCTTAGTGCTTAGTTGGGGAAAAAATATAGAAATAAACGTAAAGGTCGATTCACACATAACAGTCCAGTCACAGGTCAGTCTCAGCTGCAACCGCAGTTTCTCAGTCAACTGTCCGTCAGTTGGTTTCAGCCAGTTTTCCGTCATTGTACTAAAAATTATGTTACAGTCAAGAATTTTTAATTAAAACACAACACTCTATCAAACTTTCATCGTCCTTGAAGTTGGTTGTCACAAACAGTACATGAAATATAAAAACAATAATTTAAATAACAAAAAGACTATTTTATTACCTCAAACACGTCGGTCAGGCATCCGAACAATCCGAAAATATCGGTGGTGAGTAATCTGAAATTGACTGACGAACGCCGGCAGAACAACTGACGGACCTGAGCCAAATTAGTGTCGATAGCGCAATAGAAAATCCATAAAAGAATATTTTTTACTGTGACGTGACTGATTTGACTGTACTGTGACGTGCCGGAACTGATATGTATGAATCAACCTTGAACGTATGTAAACGACTTTCTACAAACATCAGAATAGTGATTTCTCATATTTTCAGATACAACTACCCAATTTACTAAATTACGAAAAAAGGCCTTCTCTAAAAGGAGTACTAAAGTTTCATCAAAAAAAACATAACCGTTTACTGATTATTGTTTTTAGAAACCTAAAATACAATCAAACTGGGAACGAAATTAAACTAAATAAAACGGGTACAAAGAGTTGATTTTTTCATTCAAATCTCAAGAATATAGTTGAAAAAAACACCTTGCAAGGAAAGAACACACATAGAATTTCAAGCCTAAAATAAACTTTCACCTTTTAGTTCGTGTAGATTAGAAATTGTGTAGTATCATACATTTTCCACCATTAAGCACAAAAATTAAATTTGATTTAGACACAATATTGTATATCAAGTCCGCAAATATGACCTTGGTTTCAGTATCCATAAAGACAAATTAGAAGATACGAATCGGTTGTACACTTCTTCGTCATAGTTTGTGTAACACCTGTTCGGTGTTTAGGTCTATTCCACCGGGTCTTGCTGTTGTCTGGGTCAGCTCTCAGCAGCTGGGCTCTGGTAGAAGACCCAGTCTCCGCTGCTACCGTCCTCGCTTCTCAAGTCAACTGTACTGACCATGTGGACGTTGTCGGCTGTCTACAGGAGGTATGTACACTAACTCAATTACGGTACTATATGTATTCACACAATATTTAAAGAGAAAAATACTTTTGAAGGAAAACGTGAACTGGAATTTTACGTTCTGGATACGTTGAAATAAGTATTGTCTTTCATTAGCTGATGCTGTTCTGTAACTTAGTATTTCCCTGTGAAGGAGAAGGGTTTCCAGAAAAGATCCTGCATGTTAGTTAATAAACGTTGCAAAAGTTCAGAATAAAGTGTCACCTGACGGATTTTTGTTAAAATTAAAACCAATATAAAAAATCAGTAGTGTAAGGGGAGATGCCCAGTTTTACTACATTTTACCAAACAGCAATCTGACAAGTCAATGTTTATCAAAAGGTATCATTAGCTCTATTTGAAATGCAAAGGTTTTTTCGGAGAAAGTCTGATTTAACTACAAATACACACTCCTAAATATGTAGCACTAACTTAATTTAATTCCTTATTACATTTGAATTAGTTTAAAAATGTAAACTAGTTACCTATTGTTTCGTTACACTGACCTGTAAGTTTCCGTGTAATTTTGATTTAATGTTTCTCAATAGTATTAAACAAATTTTCCCGAAGTATATTCAAACCATAATGCGCTGTGTTTTCATCTCGTTGTCAAGTACAGAGGTAAATTAACTAGTTTAGCTGTTGATAACACTCGCACACTTTTATATTGTCCTGCAACTAATTTTTGTGTTTTTTCTCGACATTTGAACATAGGTTTAGGTCATATACTAGGCCTATTACCAAGCCACTCTGCATTAATTTAAGTAACGTTCGATACATTCCAGGTACCGGTTGAGGAGATCTTGAAGGCAGACGTTAGACCGCCAGCCTTCCTCCACTCCTTCGGCCCGAGCCTGGACGGCGTGGTGGTGAGACCCGGGTATTCCGGAGATCACGAGGACTACGCAGCACGGGAGGTCGACGTAATGTTAGGTGTAGTAACTGCAGAGGCTATTGGCTGGTTCACATCATCCGATCTTCAGGTAATGCAAATATTATACGATACAGGCATTACTTTCATATTACATTAACTCGATGAAAACCCTCGACGTATAAGACATCATCCCGAAATAGCCACAAGAAGCTGGTAAAATAAAGTACCCTACAACCTCAAAATTATACTATATTTGCTACAAATAATTATTATAAAACCTCAAGGAACATTTAGAATCCCCGATTAGGATTCTTTCTTAAATTGTATACAGCATTTGTTATTGTAAGTATATATACAGTACATTTAAAAGTAAAGCAATGTAAAACACATGCCTTGGATACTAAACAGTATGAAAACTACCACCATTGATTTAGACATACTACTTTTAGTAGGTGGCTTGGGTTAAAATTGGAACACAATTATACGTAGAGATTTTGTTGGTTCAAATTCCGTAGCTTTCATTGAATAAAAACAAACATACCTATGATTCCTTCTACAGAAAGACAAATCCCTTACAATATTTCAAAACACTCTTTACTTTCAAGAAGCTATAAAATCTCGCTATCCAAATATGGAAGTTAACTCAGAAAAGCTAAATTATTCTTTTCAAAGGCGGGGTTTGACCACTCGCGAAGGGATCGTATTCTACGCACCTACGTTCGCAACGCCTACGAATACCACCTACCAGAGATCTTTGTGACCATCGTGAACGAATACACGGACTGGGAACGCACAGTAGTTCACCCTGTAAACACCAGGGACGCTACTGTCGCGGCCCTCAGTGATGCACAGTATGTGGCCCCCGTTGTGAAGACTGCGGACTTGTTCAGCTCAGCGAGTAGAGGAGCGACGTACTTCTATGTGTTCGACCACCAGACCAAGCATGGGGACTATGCTCAGGTAATTGTTGACATTGAGCGTTTGCTTGTACTTGATCTGTGTACTTAAAAAATGTTATATTTTTTGGGGAGTTGGCAAGATTGATATTGTAGAGGAAAAACTTAAAGAAGTGAGGTACAGAGGGAACTTGCATATGGAAAACCGTGCAGTTTCACCTTTACGTCTTTTCGGAAGTAGATGTTACGAGGAAGAAGAGCCCAAACGACGAGCACTGTACGGAAATTCCTATCACACGGGGTACAAGGATCTTCTTCCTCCTTGAGCATAATACTACATGAGGGAGAGGGGGTGGTGTTGGACGGTGGTAGGTTAGTTCCGCAGATAATGACCCTAGGGCCATAAATGGGTAGGTTCGTTCCGCATTTGAATCTGGTGGGCCCCTTAAGTAGGTAGGTTATTTCCGCATTTATATTGACAAAGGTGGGTTACACTCCATTAGACAAGGGTAATTAGCCTCACTAAAAGCCGACGTAGAATGAATATTGAACAAATTTAAGTTAAATATCCAAAGATTGGATACCCTTGTATCCGATTCGAAATTCGGAATATTTATGATACAAACTCTACATATTTTAGGTTTAGGATGTAAGAAAATCACCTGTTTCATAAATGTTAACAAAATTGATCTTAGTAATAATACTGATTTGACTATTTAGTAATAACACTGCACAGATACCGTACACACTATGATTAGTTGTGATAATAGTTATGTAAAAAATCTATGAACACACAGAATAGCACGCGGTCTAGATGCTTGAATTCTCCAAGTGATTGCAGCCACATACCATCCCCGCGTACTACAAATACTATCTTCCCCCGATTCCCATATTTTAGGAAATATTTTTTTGGGAATTCCTAGAAATGTTGCACCGCATTGTTTACTACAGGGAATACAGCAGAGAACATATTTAGTTTGTTGTCAGTATTTACAAGACGTGTTTATTATAACTGTTATTATCCATGCGTATCTATGCGTATGTATTTCCATTAGTTGCATACGCTTTTAATAGGGTCTTTTAAACTCATAGAAAATTATGACTACTAGTTTTAATATAGCTTCTGTAGTGCCGGTACTAGACAACTGCTCGATTTTGAGCAACAGGTACACTAGTTTTGTTTTATATTTTTAATTTGTTATAAGATGCTTACAAAGTTTAAAGTTTTTCCTGTGACAGGTTTATTTTACCAACTGAGCTATTAGCATTTTGTAACATAAGCGTATTTAAGCAGCAGCTGGTGTAATGTGATTTTTTTAGTTTTAAGATTGCGGCTTCGCAATAATGATTGGGATAATAATCTTCAATATAATAATAATCAATAATAATCTTCGCCTTCTAAGATTGGGATCGGTGAAAGAAATATCTGCATCAGCTATGGTAAAAAACTAGAGAAATCGTTACAACTGGAACATGCTACTTCAACTTTAACTCATTCAGAACTTGCTTATTTTTATGGATTATTTCGGTTGACTGGCATTTTTGTACGCTTCACTGATCTTTACAATTTCAAGAGATCTATTGTTGAAGCCGTCAAATGCGGAACTGACCTACCAGATTATAACCCACCCTACGGGACCCGGATTAGTGTAGGTAGCAAATGCGGAACCAACCTACCCCCGTGTTGGACATTGGCCTAGACACCAGCACTAGTGCTAGACACCACTTAAGTGTACTATCAAATGTTTTCTCTGTATCTTACTTCTATGTAAATACACAAATAATTAGAACCATCTTAATTTTTTTAATTATATTTGATTGCTTATTGTATGGATTTATTAATTAGTATCACCCAATGGTTCTTATGGAGTTACCAGAACTTAATACACATCGACTCTATTCACTTATATATGGTGGGGAGCGAGCTGGTCTAGTGGTTAGAGCGTGGGACTCCGGTTCCTGGGGTCCCGGGTTCAAATTCCGCCAAATCACCAATGGATTTTATCTAAGTGATATTGCCGTACCCCCTAGGTCTAGCCTGAGGTAATGTGAAAAACAATTCAGGGCTCTTGCCTAGCGTCCTAACAAAAGAAAATCACTTATATGGTGCTGTTGACTGTTAATAGTAGATTATTGTGGTGATGTTATGGGCTTATGAAATTGACTCAAATTTAAGAAAGTACTTAGTATACAATAATTTAAAAAATTAACAAAAGTTGTACTGTAATTACACTGATAGTCGTAAGTCAAAGTCGTGTTGATTAATAGTGCACTCGTGCACCTCAAATACGATTGAGGTCATAGTTTTGAAAAGGAATCTTGGAAAACCATAGTGGTGGAGCCATAGTATGATGTATCGGACCATAAACAAGGTATTAAAGCACATCTCTGAATACTGTATCTACAGCATTACATCGTTGTTGTAGAGTAACATTCTCCCGTATAGTTTCTTCTGTTGTCGTAGAGGCTAGGGGTGGCACATGGCGAGGAGCTTGCCTACCTGTTTGGAGCTCCTCTGGTTGATCAGCTGGGTCATTTCCCCAGGAACTTCACAAGAGCAGAGGTCGCACTGGCTGAAGGGTTCATGACTAGTGTAGCAAACTTCGTTAGAGTTGGGTAAGTGCATGAACCATTTGATGAGTAAATCCTGCCTATATGTGCCACCCTTGTAGGAACAACACTTATCTATTGTAGGTTCCTAAAAAATTGACACTATATGTTTCGTTACCTTTGTAAAGGATTTAGTTTGGCTAACCCTATCGTTTCCTAAGATATACTTCACTAGTACCATACAAGGGTTGAATTTTGTTAACGTTTGGAAACAATATAGCAGAAAAAACAGTATTTTAAAATTAATATTTCCCATTAAAAACAAGTTGAGAATATTTTGCCTGTGTAGAATCATTCTAACATCCTAACATATTTTATAAATGTTTCCTAACACCAACAACATGTCAGTAATTTGTTAAGCTTGAAAAGTATCTAAGGTTGAAAACAACTTATAAAAAGTATTAGTAGTACCATAGTAGTACCTTAGGAGTACACTCTACTTATTTTTTGCTCCTCTAATCTATGGTAGTAACAGGGGACATTTGGTTGGATCAAGAATAAAAACTCACAAATAGTATGATTGCTCATTAGGGTTATTTTGGTTTCATGGAAAGTCATTGAAATTTTACGTAACCGTTGCCTCTTTACCTGCAAACTATTAAGAATAACTCTATATGGCTTTTAAACAATGTTTATAAAAAATATTAATATTATGGATGTTTTAGTATTTTAAGAAACTGATTTTAGAGTTTTTTAGTGTAGGCCCAAATTTGACTTCTCCTAATCTAAAGCATAACTCAAGATCAAAGCCTTTTCTTCTTCAATATAAATAATGCTCTTATTCAATTAGCTCTTCACAGGCAATCGTAGGAAAACTTTTAATGGATACTCTTTAGGTGTAAATATATAATACCCCCGCCGCAGCGGTAAATTTAATAATTGAGATATCAATACAAAAGTGGGAAAATTTATGTACTTAAAAATGTATAAAATATTGTTTGTTAAGTATTTGTCTAAGTAAAAATAGGCTTGTTTTTATTTTATTTTTTATTATTACTTATATTTTATTGCTGTTTGTAGAATAAATTCAGATTCTCAATAGGCTATATTTTAAATTTTATTTTTGATTCATTTGCTAACTGATCCTTTTTACTATGTAGTGCTATTTGTGTATTTGTTACTAGAAATCAGTTTATTTAATGAATTATAGTTTGTGATTTATGGACTCTTTTTTAATGTGTTTTAAAATATTGTAAAATCAGTATGTCAACCACAAAACAGACGGTCTTTGACCATTGTTCTTTGTGTTTATGTAAAAACACTGTATTGATATTTTATTTCAATAAACACTTTTTCTTCTTTTTCTTCTTCTTCTTCTAATACCCCCGCCGCAGCAAACCTGCAGACTAAGCGAATTTCAACTTCTCTGATTACATTTTTACTAAAATATTTCCATAAATAAGACATAGGTATTTATTCCCTATTTAAATAACATTAGATTTAATGAGTGCTTAGGTTTGCTGCTACGGGGAAGGTAAAAAGTGATTTTTGACCATACCTCAATAGTATAGGATGAAATAAATAAATTTGCCAAATTTTATCAATATAGTTGATGGACTATATTGATAAAATTTAGGTATCCATAAACAAGTAAGCTACAACAATTTTCATTTTCTCGATTAGAGTAACATGGGAATTTTAAATTACACTATTTTTGAATTTTCTCTGTGACCGTTAGGCATAAAACAGCGCTTCAATATACTAAATTAACTCTTTTTTAAGCTCTACAAAATGATTTAGAAAGAAATTGCAATTTTTTTGTTTTTAGGGTCAAAAATTTGAAAAACCCATTTTTACCCCATAAAACCCCCCATAAACCCCCGTTCCCATGGTCCGATTATGCTGGATCGCGAACTCGTTCGAATAAATGTAGATTTACACGTTTGTACCAAATTTCATCAAAATCGGATCATTTTTGCTCGAGTTATCGCGCTAACGGACACATATATATATATGAATTTGAACGGATGGTGTTTTTGGCCTCTAGGGACCTCAAAATGAAAAATTAAATCGGTCCTGGGTCCAGGTCTTACCATGAGTACTACGGTAATAGCTTATTCCCTATATGGGAAATTCGCTAAAAAAAGAAAACATACAATCATATTGTTTGTATTTGCAGCAATCCAAACTCAAAGGAATCCAAGGACCAATTTCTTCCAGTTTCAAAAGAAAAAAATCGCTTTCGGTCACTCACCTGGGATCAATACGACTCAACCCATCAAAAGTATTTGGATATCAGTAAGTATAATATTAGTATATAAAATATCCACGAGTATAGCTTATTGCCTTAACGTGAAGATAATTTTAAGCTTAAAATGTACAAAAACTGGATAGGTCTGCAGAAAGTTCGAAACATATCTAGGAATGCATACAAGTTGATGATTTGTTACAAATTTTTTCGACTATATTTCCATAAAAGTATTTACGTAGTTTCATGAATGTAAATTTCATGCATCCATATAAATATTTACGTAATTAAGTTTGAACTAAAATCATGTTAAGGCTTAGTGTATAAATAATATAGTGTAAGATTATACTTATATTTTCTACCGAAGTACGTTAAAACGGTTACTCCTTCCTTTCCTTTTGGGAATAAATAAAAAAAATTAAATTAAAATAATTTACTTAAAAAAAATTTAAAGTAAAATATTTTTACTGGGAATTAAAATGTTAACCATTTAAGCTACGATAATACTTACAATTTATTCAAAATACAAGGTTAACAAGCTATATCTTTTGTGGAATATATTATGAAAACTTAATCAGGGCTGTTCTCGTTTTATATTCAATGAAGAGCGAATGAGGCTAGCCAATTAGGAGTTCATAATGCGAGTGTGTATACATAATGCAGACCAGAAGATTAGAAGATCCTCCGCGTCCTATGAAATCATGAATGAAAAACATAACGATCTTGACCTTATTCATTTCTACCAAATCATCTTGTATTCTTATTATTTAACCAACAAGCCGGGATTAGGATCAGAATTTAAAATACATATGTAATCTGAGGTTTTAAAAACACAATGTAGGGTTAAATAATATAATGTGTTACTAATTTATGTTCAGTTTTTGCTTGACCTTGACATCCACAGTGAAATTATTTTAATTGCAATATAAAACGTAAAACATACTGCATAAGCGAGGGTACAAAAGTGAGGTAATATATTAAGGAAATACATTAAGGGTAGTGAGTTTTGGGTTATATTATCTAAAAATGATTGCTTATGTTTGATTCATGAAAATGTTGTAAATATATAAATATGTGTATGTGTTATGTAATATGTAATATGTAATAAAAGATGTAAACACCGTTTTATCAAAGTTAAACTTTTATGGAGTAAAAATCAGTTTTCCCAATTTTGGATCAAAAAAATTTAAAATATCTTTTTAAACCATTGTAGAGCTTGAAAAATAATAATTCAGCATATTGAAAAGTTATTGTATGCCTAACGATTACGAAGAAATAAAAAAAATTAAAATTAAAAATTACCATGTACTTCTTATGATGAATAAATCAACTGTTGTCATTTTCTTGTTTGCAAATATTTTTTAAACAAATTTAGCATATTTAGTTTACTTCATATTTAGCTATCAACAATTTAATTACAAAACACACCTAACTATCTTCCCTGTGGAAGCAAGCCTGAGTAGGTACTCATTAAATTCAATGTTATTTAAATAGGAAATAAATATGATAATTTTAGGAAAATATTTTATTAAAAATCTAGTCATGTAAATTAAAATTAGCTTAGTCTACAGGTTTGCTAAGGACGAGGTATTTTGTTCTTATTCGGTAAAAATCAACACCACAATACAATACATCTTGCTATCTCAACACTTACTATGTTTATTAAATGTGACGAAAAATGACGACCCTTATATGTCATATATTTCTAGAGGAATTGGTGTACAAGGAATGAGAAAAATGAATTTAAGTGCTTACATAACTTTCTTGTAAACTATCTAAAATAGTCAAGTTACGCCCTTGTTTAATCCATTTTATTTATTTACAGGCTTAAGACCGAAAACGAAAAATCACTTTAGATCGCACCATCTATCTATCTGGCTACAGCTAATCCCAGAGCTTCATCGAGCTGGTATGGAGGACGTCCATACAAGACATAACCGTTTCCACAATCATCATGACCTTGAATTGTATACGGGGTTGGTCCGGCCCGACCCTAGGAGAGAAAATGTCACGGTATCAGAGGTAGGACTAGTGGTGGCCGTTATTTAGGAAGACCTTTTGTTCTATTTATTCAAAAGATAAAATATATTATTCTAAAGAAACTAATAAAAAACTTACGAAATCATTTTGCTTGCAAAATCTTTTTTTTACTTTTCATAACTTCAATAAACCTTACCTGTATCTCAAATTAAATATCTCTTTACAAATCAAAACAATTAGTTCATTAATACTTTAAAAACTCAAATTCTCAACTGCTAAACATCCAACTACTAAATATTAACAAACTTGAACTCACAGGTAATTCTTCCTATAACCACAATGGAAACGATGGTGACAACTTGTGTTAACCTCTACACAACACGAGGGTACCGCAACTCCTCCGACAGCGACGCTGACATCAGAGAGGTCACCTACCTACCCATCCTCACCATGACGGTCACCATAGGCGTCAGCCTGCTCGTGCTGAATCTCCTGGTGTGCGCCGCAGTCTACTACCAGCGCGACAAGACGAGGATAGAGCTGAAAGCGCTGGAACAACAGAAGCGACTGCGGACTCAGCACGGGCTGAAGCATTCGACCAGTGTTGTTCTAGACATGGACACAGAGTCTCCTATTATGGTCTTGACTCATTTGCCTTCCAAGAACGGTTCCGTCAAGTCCCTAGGTCCACTTATACCCCCGGCGCCGAGCCCGCCGCAGATGCCGAGGCCTAAACGATCGTCAATACCTGCAGCAGCTATCAGCGAGATCACGGTTTAGTAAAACGTTATAAGAACTGTAAATTCCAATACATATCGGAATGTTAAATAAATTTTAAACTTTAAAAGGTTTTAAGGTATTTTGACTAAAATTAAAACAGTACTTTACTGTAGTGCAAATTGCAATTATAATCGGTTTGGTTAACTCTAAAGTATCTTTTCAAAAATTGTTGTTTTTAACTTAACAAAGTTGGCCTAATTTAATAAGTTACCATTGAACAAAATTGCATTTTACAAATCCACTAAATCTAACAAAATGTAATTACTTCAATTATTCGAAAATGAGTCTTAATTTTCTATATATGAGGTGCTTATATTAATGGTCCTTTGGGGAATACGGAAACCGTTAAAGTTAAAAGATGGGTCCTATGTGTAGCATGAACTGTTATGGCTAATGGTTGACTTGACAACTTTGTAAATTTAGTGTTGTAGAAACCAAACTTTGTGCCCAAATTTTATACCCAATAAATATTTATTTTAGCCACGGTATTTTATTTTACCCCATCCTTATATCATTTGCAATTAGTTATTAATATGCCAAAAACAACTGTTGAAATTACTAACAAATAGTTGGAGATTAAAGATGGAGTTATATACAATTTTAATGCACTTACGTTCAAGAAAATACGAGTAGGAAGTAGTGGAGAACTGCCGGTTTTACCTCACTTTAGACACGTTTTTCCCATGTTATTCTTATGGGGATCATTTTTTGGCCACCAATTCAAAAAATCCTGATCTTTGCCCAAATATCCCTATAAAATTGTCAAACCTTATTTCTTAGTTATTCCCTATAAATATATTCGATATTAAGCAAAAATAAAAAATAAATTAATTATTTCATTTATTGACCCATGCATGTGTATATGTATAGTAGTATAGTTTGTCGGTGCCGTTTTTTGCGCATCGGCATTTTTGGGCCAACTCCCCGCCCATGCCTAATTGCTAGTACATTTACCATTCCCCTTTCTAGTTGATGTATTATATTTCTGTCTTATCTTATCTATATATTAGACGTATGAGTTGTTTAATATTGTTAGTATAGCTTGTCGCCGCCGTTTTTTGAGGTTCGACATTTTTGGGCCAACTCCCCCCCTCACCCCTCACCCCCTCACCACTCCCCTCTGCCCCATGCACAATTGCTAGTACATCTATCATTCCCCTTTCCAGTTGATATATTATATTTCTATTTCAAAATCATGTATGTGCGAACTCGGCTCATGGCGTGGGCGCGATCCTGGTCGCGGGCATGCTCCCTTGGACATCCTTAGTGGAAATCCATGAATTCTGGCTACTTGGGAACCCAAGCCATTTGACATACAATAAATCACCTTTTCTCCTAATTACCTTTTCTACTAAATACATGTCTTTATATTTGGTCTTTAACAACTCCTCTGTATAGAAGCCTCCTCTGATTATATTACCATTTTCATCTTTCAAGATATAAGTCACAGGCTTTGTATTCTTAACTTCTGATATTGTAAATAGTTCCCCTGTCCAATTTGGGGTATATCCTTTACTAAAAACATGTTTATACTTGGAAATTCTCACGCTATCACCTACCTTATATCTTGGCTTTTTAACTTGCACTACTTTAGAAGTCCTTTCATGCAACCTCTCATGCACATATTTACTGTTCTTAATATTCACTTGGTTAGGCTTCATTCCTATAGATCTATGCACTTTATTATTATATTTTCGAATTAACTTTGGAAGTAAATCCAACCATTTATAACTCCCCTGAGCACTAAATTCTCTATATAACCAATTCTTTAAAGTTCTCTGAAACCTCTCCACAATTGCAGCCTTAGTTGTAGAAAATGTGTGATAGTGATTAATATTTAATTTTTTCATTAGTTTGCTAAAATATTGATTAAAAAATTCTTTTCCATTGTCGGATTGAATGTTTTTAACCCCCTTTGGTAGAATGGTTTTAATGGCTTCTGTAACCACCAACCCTGTCTTATTCTTTAGTGGAGCAGCATAAGCTTTTTTAGAAAATGTATCTATTAAAGTTAAAATATATTTATTGCCAGAATTCTCTCTAGCATAGTTTTGCATATCAATTAAATCTATTTGTACAGTTTCGTTTATACCCAATACTTTAAAAGACCTTCTAATGAAATTCTTTCTTGCAGGCTTATGAAGTTCGTATGCAATTTCATTCATTTTTTATAACATCATCCTTTCCTGTAACTCTAAATACATCACCATTAGCCCCAATCAATAGATTATCTTCCATTCTTTTAAATACATAGTTTTCTGGTATATATGGTCTATTATCTATATACTTAAATCCACTCAAAGATGTGGGGTCAGCAACTAATAAATCAGGATTATATTCCATCAAATTAAAATTTTTTTCTCCATATACAAATTTTGATCCATCGTAATGCATAGCTTGTGACATTAGACAAATATCATCCGAATGTTCTCCCTCTGGTAGATTCCTTATAAATTGTTTTTTGGCATCCCAACATTTTTCTTTTTTATCAAAAGTTATAGTCTGTTCTTTTATAACACAGTCAGTTTCATCAATGGCAGGTTTAACACGTACTAACCTTTTATTATAAAAACTCCAATAGCCTGCTTCCATTTTTGGAACTTGTGAAACATTCACAGCATCTTTACTATCTGTACCTTCTATCAAATTGCTAAGTTTCTGTTTCTTAGCATTCCAAACACCATTCTCTGATTCTAAAAATTCATAATTATTATCATCTTGTATAAATTTACCATCTTCTTTTCGTATTAAAGTCTGTTGTAAAGTGGGCACATCATCTAAACTTTCACCCTTTTCTACATTAGTAATTTTCCGTTTCTTAGCATTCCAAACACCATTCTCTGATTCTAAAAATTCATAATTTTTATTGTCTTGTACAAATGTACCACCATCTGTTCGTATTAAAGTCTGTTGTAAAGTGGGCACATCATCTAAACTTTCACCCTTTTCCACATTAGTAATTTTCTGTTTTTTAGCATTCCACTTTTTATTCTTAGATTCTAAAAACTCATATTTAGTTTTACCTTGTAAAAAGACATCACCTTTTCTAGTTAATGTCTGTCCTAAAGTTGATACATCATCTACAAACTCCCCATCTTTAACATTACCAATTTTATGGTTTAAACAATTCCAACTATCATCTTGTAAATTTAAAGTAGGTTCACTACTCATGGTTGCCGCCCTGGGTTCTGCAGGCTTATTATATGGATTATATAAACGATAAAATTTATCTATAAACATATTTTTATTTAATAAATAATTCCACTTTCTCTCAATTCCTCAATAATGGAATCTATTTCATTATCCACTCCTGAGTTACCGGCTTGGCGACTTAGCCAAAGAAGTCTTAACCTATCTACAAGCTCATTAGGATCATCCCAATAAATATAGTCTATTTTATTACCAGTCACTTGTCTCAAACCTTCACCAACAGATTTAAATAGAGGTTTAATTATATTAAGATATTTAGTATGTCTATTACTTGAAATTGGTGCACCATCTTTGTAACTCTTTAAATGTCCATTTGTAGCTTCCAAAATCTCTTTATAATTTTGCAAATCAGCCTGAGAATAGTTCTCAGGTTCTTTTAACGTTAACAATTCCCATAAACCTTTTGTCCCCTTGTAGGTTTTATTTGCAACTGTAACATCATCATTGACAATATCAACTTCCTTATTTCCAATAAAAAATTTATTTGCTTCTCGTCTAATACCATATGTAGTGTCTGTCATACTACTTTTACTGAGGTAATTTCCTAAATAGTCTGATGCTAAAAGACCAAAATCTAATTTCTGTGGAGTGGATGGTTGTAATGGTTGTAATGGTTGTAATCTTGGTATCATTGATATTCTAGATGGAGTCATTGGGAGTATCTCCATTCGAGGCCTCTCTGATGTGATTTTCTTTAATTCTTGTAATGGTTCTATTAAAGGTTGGAATGTTTGGAACCTCTCTTCAGCCTCTAGAAACTTGCCACGTTTTAAAGCTCTATATTTCTCTCTTATTTGATTTGCAGAGTCAACCAATTCTTGTTGAATATTTTTCATCTTTTATTTACATTTTATTTATCTCATTTGACAAAGGATTATACTCAAACACTTTATCATGTATTATCAAACAATATGCAGATGTATTTGCTGGTACATTTTCTGCAGTTTCAATCTCTAATTTAATATCAACAATTCCTTCCTTCACTGTTTCGTTCTGTCTAGAACAGTCTATTACGATTAGTGGATATTTCTTCATAAACTCGGCCCTACTAATCATAGGATCTGGGATAGTATTATAGTAAGTCTCTCTAAACCTCATAAACATCTCATAAGCTTTAGAGACATCTCCATTTTCAAAGTCGAGATTTAAATCACTGTAAGGATAATATTCAGAGTTTAGAAATACTTTGAGATTTTTTAATTTACAGTGATCAAATTCATCAGTTCTTTTTCGTGCACTATTATCCCTAGCTGTTTGGAAACCAAATATAATATACCTAGGCTTCTCTAAACTTGAAGACGTCTTTACTGACCATGTATGTCTTGTGGTATTAGGATATGATGGAAGTTCATGCAGCTCTAAGCTTCTAAATGCAATTTGCAAATTTTTATTTTGCAATAACATCTTTTGTAATTGTAACTTCTCCCCATCTGATGGTATCACATGTGGCATCACCCATTGAATTGAGTTAAGTGTAATTTTAGGAATCAAATCAGCAGTGCCACTGGCTGGAGCACTAGCGGTTGTTAATATACAATTCAAATCATTTTTGGATCTTTTCAACACCAATTCTTGTTTGACATTTACTAATACCTTATTAAAATCCTCAAATACACCCATTAACAGCTCTAATGGTAAACATGTACTAAACTTGCCACCTTTATGGAACTCTTTTAAATTCGTGTCAGAATCAAATGCTACATTTGACAATTTAGTTGTTTTATTGTAAGAGCTCAATATTTTCATAAGACTAGAAATTCCTGGGTTTCTTACAATGTCTATTTCTTTAC